TCCCAACAATTACTCCACTCACACACAGAAGAAGGCAATGGCAAACCACTTCTGATCATCTCTGCCAAGAATGTATATATGTATGAGCAGGTCCCTGACAACCTGAAGAGGTTGGAAGGATCCTGTTCATAATATATGGACCTGTCGTCAGACAGAACACTAATAATAATAAAAAGCATTAAGAGGTCAAGCGTCCTTTCTATTTATCTAAATTCTGGACCTGCAAATTTTGGAAATGTTTCTTTTGATGCTCGCTACCATGACAACAAGTTTCAGCATAAGATGTCTCTGTTATCGGTGTTCCTTTGAACATATCCCCTCACGGGTAATGTAGCTGTTCAACAGATCACAGTAGCCCGAGGAGAGAAGCCATTCTCGGTAGCTGCTTTACTCGATCGCAACCCCCTCACTTAACGACCGAGCTTAGTTTGCTCTGACCGTTGTAGAAAGTGTAAACTCAATTTGCTTTACAAACTTCTCTAGATGCTAATAGTGGCGAGAAAGTGCAAGATGGAAGGGTGTATGCTTACAGTACTAGTTCTAGGAAAGTAGGGATTCCTCAACAAAGGCTGAGTGCTCTGACCAAGCGACCTCAGAACTTCAGCAGTTCAGTTGACTGCCTCGTGTTCACTCTCCTTTAAGACCGATAGTCATATAGAATAGCTGATTAATGCCTTTGTAATGTAAAATTTATTATATGTTTTCTTCAATTTCATTTATACGATGTCTTGTGGATTTTTCAGAGTTATTATTGTGAAACGAATAATATTGCAGATTCGAGGTCTGACACAAAAATAACGAGACTGATTATAGTAATATATCATTTATTTCCGTCTATGCACAAACTTAGTTGTTAAAATTGGTGTTATAAAGTTTAAATTTAAAACTTAAAATTTGGCGCTCTTCATCGCTATTACGATGTTACAATTTTGGCGCTCATTATTTTATAACATGTTTCGATACTAAATTAAATTTAAACTTTATAACACCAATTTTAAGTTTTAAATTTAAACTTTATAACACCAATTTTAACAACTAAGTTTGTGCATAGACGGAAATAAAGGATATATTACTGAATTAAACACAAACATGACGCAATTATACTACAAAGAGACTGATTACGTAACTAGGCAACCAAAATATTCAGGACGAAATAAACAGACCATATTAAACCTTTATCTTTCCTCTACCAGCGATGCAAATTTCAACTTCATCGCTTCACTCAGTAGCAGTGAAAAAGTATTTCTGTTCAGACGTGATTTTATATTCGATCGGAAATGTCAGATCTTAAATTGGAACAAAACTTTAATATTATTCTCGTTAAACTTAAAAAAAACCTTGACGGAATCGTTTCTGATATTGAATGAGGGTTACAGTGAAGATTGTATGTCTCGTGCACGTGTTTTCGAATGGCACAAACGATTTTTGGAAGACAGGGAAAGCGTGGACAATGATGAGCGCCCAGGTCATCCACGTACATATATTTTCTTTGATATCAAGAGTATTCCGATGGCAGAGTGGGTTTCCAATGGCCGGACGGTAAATCAGAAATATTACATAGAAATGTTTACAGAATTTCGCGAGTTAGTGAGAACAAAACGGTCAGAGTTGTGGATAAAGGGGGTGGATTTCGAGCCAGCCCACGCAGATTTGTCTTTGAAGGAGTTCTTAACCGATGAGAACATAACTGTGCCTGATCACCGCTCCTGTTCATCAGACCTGACTCCCTGCGACTATTTTCTCTTCTCCAAAATCAAATCCGTGCTCAAAGGGATCCATTTTGAGACCGTAGAATCTGTGAAGGCAAACACGAAGGAACTGCTGGACAGTCTTACAGAAAATAATCTACGGCACTACTTTAGAGGGCGATCACAGTTCATTTTTGTAATTAACTAACTAACTAGATGGCTTACGGAACCCGAAGGTTCATCACCGAATTAACCAAAGCCCTCCACCGGACCCTGTCCTGGGCCAACAAAATCCACTCTCCTTCAACTCCTATCTCCCATAGATCCCGCCTGAGATTATCCTCCCATCTACGTCTAGGTCTCCCCAGCGGTCTCTTCCCCTCAGGCTTCCCAACCAATACCCGGTGCACACCTCTTGTCCCATCCATGCGCGC